CATACAGTACCACAAAATAACAATGCAGAGCTTTGCACTCATTGTGATCCCTCGGTTGGTTGGTTGGTTGGTGGGACTGGACGGGGTGGGGTGGGGTGGGGTGGGGGCTCCACCCTCGCACGGTCAGTCACTACACGATGCACTTGCGTTCCGCATTCATTTGTAATGTATTTGTGTTGCTTGTTGGCTTACCCCAGGCCGACACTCCCTCCAGCCTCTCCCACACACGCGGGTACGTGTGTACAGCTGTCAACATCTGCCCTCAGACCCATTCCGAGCCTATTTGAACCCAAACGGAGCAGCGTTTCACTCTTCAGTTGCGTGTAGATTTGAAATGAATTATGTATATATTTTTTTTTGCAAAACAATTTAGTTACGTCTCACATCAAGTAAATGCGATTCACGAGACCTGGACTGAAGTCACTCATGAAATCCACGCCATGAGCTTCCCATAATGTGATCCAACATCAATAACTCTCCCCACCAGTCGGTAACGCCGGAGGGAGGATGTTACAGCACTGGTATCTGAGCCTCTGGCATCAGGAGGAGACCAGGGCAATCCTGGCAGCTGCTTGTGAAGGCTATCGATTTTTTTCCCGGACATTTCCTTCTCTGCCCTCCCCAAGCCACTGAATGACACACACTAAAGCTGAAGGGAAGGTAGTGCCCCCACTACCTCACCCAACTGGCCATCCTAAACACACTGAGACCTCGGCAGCAACTGTTGACATGTTACTTAGCCATAGTCCGCCAACATCATGTCCTCAACATACACACATATATTCACTCTGTTGTCAAAACCCCTGAATAGTGATAGGGAACACCAAACAGTTAGAACAAGGAGGAGGTCATTTGGCCCTTTGAGCGTGTTCTGCCATTTTAATCCTATTTCCTCATCTTTCCCCACATCCCTCAATACATTACCGTCTGGCTTTAAAACATCCCACTCAATTCTGCATCTGATTTATTTGCCGCCTTTGCCTGGGGCACTGAAATGAACTGTAGCAGCCTTACTATGTTTACCTGCAAGTGCACTGTCACTACACTTTATAGTAAATCCTGTGAAGCACTTTGACAATGTGATAAGGCACTACATTGAATGCAAGTATTATTAGTCCTGTAGAGTATCGGTTAGAGCACTCGCCTCGCAAGCGAGAGAATCTGAGTAAGATTCTCAGGCAGGGTGAAATCTTAGGCAAATTTCCTTACTCCACACGCCTCTGTCTGCCTAGGAGTAAGTAGGAACCTGGTTGTTAATTGATTGGTCGATCGCTTTTCCTGGGGAAATAATCCCTGCAAACAATGTTTTTTAAAAAATTGGTCACTCAATCCATGACTGTTTGTGGGACACTGCTGTCCACAATTGGTTGCTGCATAGAGTCCTGTAGCTTTGTGGTTAGAGCACTCACCTCGCAAGCGAGAGGACCTGGTTTTGATTCCCAGCAGGACGATATGTTGGGCAAGTTTCCTTACACAGGTTGTTAGTCGATTGCCAGATTGCTTTTTCGGAGTTAATAATTCCTTCAAAGTAACTAAAAATAATTTGGTCACTCAATCCACGACTGTTTGTGGGAAACTGCTGTGCAAAATTGGCTGCCACGTTTTGCCTACAAAATATTCTGTGAAGCACTTTGAGATAGGTGAAAGGCACTATAAAATGTAAATTTTGTTGCTTGCTGTCTCAAAGATGTGATAAGTCGCCATATTAAATGCAAGGATTATTATTACTGCATTGACTTGGAGGTCAGCACAAACCAGGAATCTAAAAATCTGGGCCCTTCATGCACTGTATATACATTTAACCACTGACATTAATTATGGCAACATTTAAGACATCAGCAAACAAATTAGAACTAGCACAATTTCATAATTAACTGGACTTTGAACAAAAAATAATATCACATTCGATGGAAATCAAATCTGTTCAAAATTTCAATTAATGAAAAAAGCTAATAATAATAATTGTTGCATTTTCATTGTCAGGAGGACATCTTAAAGTGCTTCACAAGGTAAAGGGTAATGGTGTAGGCTGCAGTGGCAGTCTACACCAATTTTATGCATGTCTCATAAATAGCAATGAAGTGAGTGACCAAATTTATTTCGTGGATTGTTGTCCATGACACTGGGAGAAACTCTCTTCTCTTTACAATAGTGCTATGGGATGTAGGTGTAGCCTGACTCGGTTAGGAGCACTCTTGAC